TACAACTATGTATGGGGGGGCTTTAGGGAGAAAAAGGAAAAATAAAATCTTTTAAAAGAGGATGCGTTCATTGATTTGTTAAAGAAATGCTATTTATTGTACATCTCCTGTGAACCTGTCATTGTGATAAGCATAAGGTGAGACACAAAGAAGAGGAGTCTCACAGGTCTCAAAGGTCACGGTGGGCAAGATTCCTGGGTCCAGTTGTTCCAAGACACTATGAAACTTGGGCTTGAAGGGCTCTCCACTCTGATGTCCTTTGTATTGCCACTGACTATAGAATTCTTAAATCTTCAGTCTAACCTAAGAGATGGTAATAAATGATTGGAGGCCTCCCCGTTCCCTAATTAGTTCAATGAATGTTTTGTGATCACCCACAGTGCATCAGACACCACGTTAGGGTCTGGAGAAACAATGATGGAGAAGACAGTTCCTGCTCTCATGAATCTTACGTTCTGTATCAATGATTTCCAACCATTGAGCGTCAGAGCTACCGTGCATGTATGCTTGCTACGTTTCTCATTCAGCAGTGGCAGCAGACTCTACAACTATAAACATAACGATCCTCCAAATTTTGTGGCATTAAAATGAGGGTCTTACACTCAATCATTGCACATAAAACATGCTGATTCAGCCTGAAAAAGAAGCAATGGCTCTGAAATCTAGGAAACATCCTGGGGTCCACTGTGTGGTTCTGATTTGGTAAGTGTTAAGGGAATCCTAGGGTCTTTTGTCTCAGAAGTTTCCCAGTTTTTAATTGGGTTATTTTTTTCTTTGTTGTTGAGTTGTATGAGTTCTTTGTATATTTTGGATATTAACCCCTCATCAGATACATGATTTCAAATATCTTCTCCCAACCAGTAGGTTGTCTTTTCCTTTTGTTGATGGTTTCCTTTGCTGTGCAGAAGCTTTTCAGTTTGATGTAGTCCCACTTGTTTATTTTCGCTTTTTTCTCCCTTGCCTAAGGGGACATATCTAAAAAGATATTGCTAAGATGGATGTCGAAGAGCATGCTGCCTATGCTTTCTTCTAGGGGTTTTGTGGTTTCAGGTCTTACATTCGAGTCTTTAATCCATTATAAGTTAATATTTTGTGTATGGGAAAAGGTAGTAGTCTAATCTCATTCTTTTGCGTGTGGCTGTCTAGCTTTCCCAGCACCATTTATTGAAGAGACTTTCCTTTCTCTTTTGTATGTTCTTGGATCTTTTGTCAGAAATTAGCCGCCCATAAATGTGTGGGTTTATTTCTAGGCTCTTAGTTTTGTTTCCTTGATCTATGAGTCTGTTCTTCTGCTAGTCCATGCTGTTTTGATTACTAGCTTTGTAATATAGTTTTAAATCAGAGAGTGTGATGCTTCCAGCTTTGTTCTTTTTTCTCAGGATTGCTTTGGCTATTTGGGGTCTTTTGTCATTCCATATAAGTTTTGGGATTCTTTGTTCTAGTTCCATGAAAAATGTCATTGGGACTTTTATAGGGAGGGTCTGAACAGACATTTTTCCAAAGAAGATATACTGATGGCCAACAAGCAAATGAAAAGATGTTCAGCATGTCTACTTATTAGGGAAATGCAAATCACAACCACAATGAGATATCACCTCACATATGTCAGACGGTTATTATTCAAAAAAACAAGAAATAGGAAGTGTTGGAGACAATGTGGAGAAAAGGGAGCCCTTGTGCACCACTGGTGGGAATGTAAATTGGTGCAGCCACTATGGAAAATAGTATAGAGATTCCACAAAAAATTAAAAATAGAATTATCATATGATCCAGCCATTGCACTTCTGGGTATTTATCCAAAGAACACAAAAACACTAAATGCAAGAGATATGTGTACCCTATTTCATTGCAGCATTATTTACAATAGCCAAGACTTGGAAACAACCCGAGTGCGTAATGACAGATGAATGGATAAATAAGATGTGGTATATATATATACAATGGAATACTACTCAGCCATAAAAAGATGAAATCTTACCATTTGCAACAAATGGATGCACTTTGAGGGTATTATGCTAAGTGAAATAAGTCAGATGGAGAAAGACAAATACTGTATGATTTCACTTATATGTGGAAGACAAAACAACAACAAATAAGCACATAGATACAGAGAATAGATTGGTGGTTGCCAGAGGGGAAGGGAGTGGGGGAATGGTGAAAGGGGTAAAGGGAGATATTTGTATGATGACGGATGGAAACTAGACTTTGGGTGGTATGATATAGTCTATACAAAAGTTGAAATACAATGATGTACACATGAAATTTATATAGTGTTATAAACCAGAGTTACCTCGATAAAAATAATGAAGATCACAATGTACTGTGTCTAAAATAAAGTGAGAAAAGCAAGTTGCAAAATGAAAAAAGAAGCTTCTTGTGATTTTCATGAGCGGTCAGTTTGGAAAATTACATTTATGCATGTAATGTGGTTCTGTTTCAACACTTTTTTTTTTTTTAAAGATTTTATTTTTTCCTTTTTCTCCCCAAAGCCCCCCGGTACATAGTTGTATATTCTTCGTTGTGGGTCCTTCTAGCTATGGCATGTGGGACGCCGCCTCAGCGTGGCTTGATGAGCAGCGCCATGTCCACGCCCAGGATTCAAACCAATGAAACACTGGGCCACCTGCAGCGGTGCACGTGAACTTAACCACTCGGCCACGGGGCCAGCCCCAGTTTCAACACTTTTTTAACCTCTGTCTTGCTGGTATGTGACAGGTGATGAGTCCACTGTGTTTTATTGATGAGAACTTGAAAACTCTCCCAGTGCTCTGTGGCTGTGAGCCCCATTACCCATTACTGGATTTTCCTCCAATGTTGCTCAGTCTGACACCATCTTTAGGTTTAGCTTTCAAATGAATTCCAATATTTAAAGCATTTTTTCTTCACACTAAATATGTAGATTCCTTAGTTCTCTACCATCAAGCTATGCCTTGGTTTTGAGTAAATCTTAAAAACACTTTTAACTTCCTACTGTATGCAAAGCACAGTACATTACAAATGCATTTATATGTTCTCTTCAAAAAGTGACTCCAATTAATCTCCTATGGTTCAACACGGATCTAAAAGAAAAACCATGAAGCATCCATCAGTCAGTTGAAGCCCTTCTCCCAGCTGGAGAACTGATCAATTTAAGAACATTCACTTATTTTTCTGTGCACGGAGAGTATGAACTTTTCATTGCATTTTAATTCACGTTTCCCCCCCTTTTATTGTCACATTACCTGTCAAATATGAACTTTGTATCCAAAGGTTCTTTTTCCTTATATAGCAAAGTGAATATTTTGTTAGCTATTTTTCTTTCTTCTCACATGACTTTCCCCCAAAGATACTGTATAAAATGGTATTTTGATTTCCTTTATTTGTTTTATAACAGATATAGTGTTAAATTGAAAGAAAATAAGAGTCTTCTTCCTGAAGTTTCTTTTAGAGACCATTGAAAATATAGAGAATCTATTTGCTTAGCTTTAAAGCCCCCAAATGTGAACAGCATTCTGAAGTGAAAGCTGTTCTTGAGGACCGATGACATATGATCTGAGTAACAGCTATGGTACTCAGGTACAGCTGTTCTTTCTGTGTGGTTTCAAAGCTAGAAGCTCAGAAAATCCATCAAAGCCAGAGTTAGAGCAGAAATAAAGGTGATGACATAGCCATTTGAGGTGAGAAAGGTGAGCTTCTTCAGAGGGTTTCCAGAAAGTGCATAATGAAAACAATTTTGGAGCCATGTTTCTTTGGTACTCCCAGCTGCCTAACTCAGATCTCCCAAGGATGAAATGCAATGTGACCTGATTAAATCCTTATGATGTTCTCATCGTCCCTCCTCTGTCTCCTGTCCCCTCTTAATACTGCCCTCATTTAGTGGGTTGGATTAAACTCTGCTAATTTAAGGGCTGCTTCACAATGCTATTCAGAGAGAAGGATATAGAGCAGCAACGTGAACTGCTCCTTCTCTCCAGGGCCCAGCATAGAATGTGAAAAAAATATCCTCACTATTGCCACACAATGGGAAGGGGTTATATCTACTTGCAGCATCACTGCAGAAGTTACATATGAACCTCCATTAGAACTCATTAAGTCTTTTTTCCCTTGGCTCCCAGCCTCCTTGACAGCTTTAGCTGAGCAAGATCTCCCACCATCCTCAACAACCTACGTGCTCCATCAGCCCCGACATTTAGACTCTTCTATGCGAAGCACAGGGCTCACTTGTATTGTACTTCTTATTCCAGACAACCAGTATCATCCGTCTTTGGGGGTTACTGTTGGTAGTCTTGTCACTCAGACTCAGCAACAGGCATGAAGGCTCCTTTGATTATATTTCAGTTCCTTGAAAAGAACCATTCTGTACCTCATTTGACTGCTAAAAACCCATAGAGGTTCTTGTCTTGTTAAATGTAATTCTGTTGCAATTACTGTCAAATATTGAATTAAAAGTGGTTAGCTCATTAACAGCTCCCCCCAACAATCGATTAAAAAGTTTTCTTTTTTTATATGGAGATGGTTGGCATTTACTTACAAACTCCTTTCTCATCTTTGGAATCTAATTATGGTCGCTAGGAATGCTCATTTTTTACTTGGTCTCTGAATTCCTGGGGCATGGAAGGGGCATGTAGTGGGAACAGATGGATGTGGCATGAAACTACCACCGGGACAGAGGCCAGGTCTGGAAGAGATCCAGCTGAAGGTGTAGGGTACAGTATCGAAGGCAGGGCAGTCTCCAGCCTCCGAGGGGCTCATCAGGCTGTAAGAGGGTGGACTTCCTGATGTGGCGGGCAGAGCTGGGATCTGGGGAATACAGGAACAGATGACACTTGAAAAGCCAAGGCAGGCAGGCTGCAGCACTGAGCAACGCATAAGCAGAAAGCAGGGCAGTAGGCACTGGGCTGGACTTCAGGTGGAAGACGGCCAGGTTACAGTAGCACCCAGTCTTGGAAGGAGAAGGAACAGTAAACTAGGCATACGACTTTGAAAGTAATAATAAAACAGCAGTGAAAACACTCCCCTCTAATCCACTTCCACCATAGCCTCTGGAGTGATCCTTTTAAAAATATAAAGCAGATCACACCACTGTGCTGCCTAACCTTTCCAGTAGCTTCCTAAACCAGTGCTTCCTTATCTCAGAAGGACAAAGGGATCGCTCAAGGATCTTGTTAAAGTGCAGATTCTGGCTAGGAGGTCTGGGGTGGTACCGGAGTTTCCGCATTTCCAACAGGCTCCAGGTGATGCCGGAACCACACTTGGAGTAGTGAGAACTTGAAGCACAATCAAAATTGCCTGGCCTCCCTTCACTCTGTTTTCTCCCTTGTGCGTCCACATGCCAACTGCTCTCATCTCGTCGCTGCCTCACAGACTTTGCAATTTCTGTTTCCTGCGCATGGAATGCCACTCACCCGCTGTTCTAGCTTCTCCTTCTCTGGTCTCAGAGTAAAAGTCACCTCCAGAATGGCTTCCCCTGACCACCCTATCCAAAGCAGACTCCTTATTTCCAATCATTGTCTATTAGACTATTTCTTCCATCATAACTAGCCCTTACTCATTCTGTTACCATTTATGTATTTTTCCATGTTTATTGTATGTGTCCCCAATTGGATATAACCTTCCAGGAAAACAGGAACCATTACTGATATCATTTCCCTCTACCATTTATTAAGTTCTACCTATGTGCTAGACGCTCTACTAAACACTTTGCATTTATCCCATTTACTTCTAGCATCAATTCTGTAAGTTAGGTCTTTTTAATCACTACTTTACAGACAAGATAATAGACACCCTTTAAAAACACCAAACAGAGACTTCAAACATTTGAGCAGAATAGAGATCCAGAAAAATGGTTATTGCTTGTGCTGCCTCTGATTCTCTGTCTCTGTTTCACCTACCAGGTGGAGATATTCATACTGGATGATCTCTACCATCTCCATATGGTCCCCATGGGTGCACTGCCCAAAAGGGGATAGCAGCTCCATTCCTTGATCTCTCCTTGCACAGCTGAGCTAGTCTGATGCCAAAGACAGTTGGCAATACTAAGGCAGAACTGAAAGAAATTCAATAAAGAAAGTAACTAGTTTATCAACATTACCAAACTTACTACCAGCTGCTATGTATTGTGTTCCAACCCCAGGCCACATGCTTTAAAAATGAGATCAGTCAAAATGACTAGGGGGAGGTTTCTATTCCCAGGGCAAAGCTGTAGCATACCTTGGACCAGCATGTGTTCCTCTGAACCAGCTCTACCATCAATGACCAGGGGCAGGATGCTCTGCCTGGGCTTGTTTTCTCCTCTCTGTAAATAGAAATTCCAGCAAGAGTGCATTTCAACAGTGTTTGGCACTTGGGATCCATACATAGCTTTTCCATGCAAGACAGGGCATGTGTAGCCCTCTCTTTATTGAGGAGGACATTTCAGGGTTGAGAATTAAGGATTCAGTTTCTATTGCCCTGAATGATCCTGAAAGGGGCAGGATGAGGTCACTCACATAATTCTATGTATAAGTAAACATTTCATTTCGTATTATGGAGGGAAGAAAAGAAAAGTGGGAGATTTGGGGTTTGATTCTAAAGGCCCTTCAAATACCGGCTTAGCTGCTGACCCCCCTCGAAGGCAGAAGTGCAGAGGGGCCTGCCGCATGCTTGTTATTTTTGATGGATTGCAGTCTAGCTGCAGGGCAGGAAGCTCAAACCCCCAGGGTCACATCGTTGTAGCTTGCAAAGAAGCTGAGGCTTGAAAGATTTTATTGTAGCCAGACCCAAGGAGAGTTTCAGGTACTGTCTTCAAGATCCTTACTCTTGCTTCTTCGTGCTCACCCTAGATAGAAAGAATCCTGCCAAATTGCACTCCGCTCCCACACCCTTCCACACATACGCTAGAGCTGAATATGAAAATTGGTCTCTAATTGTTGGATACAAGCTTGACTAGCTTTGAATTAACAGCTAAAGCTGTATTCATTAATCTGAACAGGGAAGAGCAGGCAGACTGTCACAACACGGCTCAGTTCAGTAGTCATGCAGAGCAGGTGAGCGAACGGGAGGCACTTTGAAAGTGCGGCAGCCATCTCCATCAGCCCCATCAACCAGTGATGAAGAGGGGAAGGCAGCCAGCCACAATATCGCCACGAGATGGATGGCATACCTCAAAGTCCACCGTCCCAGGGGCAGCCCAGCAATGATCGATGGTTATCCACAGCAATTAAACTTCAGAGCTTTTAAATGTCATTCTAGAATGGAATGCCATCTCATAAAGGTGTTGTTTAACATTTATCAAATATGTGGATGGGGTGGGGTTGGGGGACTGTGGAGTTATTCTTTGGGGAAATAGGAACAAATGTTATAGCTTTGGAAGTGTGAAAACCGTGAGAATAACATTTGATACCATTCTAATATGTTCTCTTCAACATTGGAATCAACTGGAGCAGAATCCTTTTTGCACACTCTAAGATGTTTTTTAAATGCTGGGATTTAGTGGGGGTGTGGTGGAAAGAATATGTAACAAAGGGTCAGGAGAAGCAGTTTTAAACCATTGCTTTTTCACTTATGGTGATGTACCTTGGATAAATGACAACCTACCTGTGTAAATGGGACAGGTAAGCAGGAATGGTGGTTCTCAATCTCCAGCGTGTATTAGAATCACCTGAGAAGCTTTTAAAAAACAGCAATGATTGGGGCCCACCTGATCCAATTAGTCTGGGCATGGGGTGGGGCATATATGTGGTTGTGAAATCTCCCCAGGTGATTAATATGTACTGTGAAGACTGAAAACAACTGGATTATATAAGCTTCAAGTGTCTTCAGCCTTATATTTCCACAATTCTTTTCTACTTATGGGGATATTCCCAGAGCAGAGGATACTGGTTGATAAGAAAACTTTCCATCAGAAGAACATATGTCATTGAAGGACAATAATATGGTGGTAATATTTTTTCTGCTACCAATTTGTATTCATTCATTCAATAATCAGAGACTGAACAAATCTTGGCAATTCTTGTCAAATTCAAAGTTGGACGTATGAGGCCTGGGTTTACTTGCACATCGTGCAGTGGGGACCATGAGTGTGGAGGTGTGTCCCATGGATACCAACCTCTATAAAAGGCAGTTGGAGCAAAGTTCTTTGAATATCAGAAAATTGCTGATAAAGTTCTTGATCCTACATTCTACATTGTCGTCTTTTCTTCTGTTTATTCCTCTGTTCTATATCTAGTTCAGTGATGGCATGATATTTTTGAGATAACAGATACTTTTAAATGCCTCCTCCCCATGTTTTCTTTTCCCTCCTCCATTACCACATTCAAGCAGATAGCTAGTTTTATAACTTTTGCCTTAGGGGTAGGATGGACCAAAAAAAAAAAAAAGGGAAACATACACAGCTTTAGGTTCCCCAAGCCTGGTCCCTTTAAGGAGATTATTCTGATAGAGGGAATGTTCTCTAGATTATGGAATTCCTCAAGGAGGAATGAAGGGGAATGAAGAGGAAGGAAGGGGAAGCGTGAACAGAGACCTCAGTGGGCTCAGGAGACCCCGGCGTTGTTTGCAGGAGGAGTGCTGGGGAGGCAGGACAACCCAGGGGTGTAGGAGACCAAAGGGCCAAGGTGATTAAGCCCACTTTTTTGATGGAGATGCCCAAAATGAAAAAGGCCAGTGAGGATGTTACCCGGCCCACCCACTCCATAAGACATTAACCACAACCCTGCTCAGAATAAACCTAATGTGTTCTCTTTAACTTACAGGAAACCACAAAGAGAGGAAGGAAAAGATGGCTGAGACATAGCTCAAATCCAGTTAAAACCGGTAGTAGGCAATGAGGCAGTCCAACTTGACCCACAGCTCATTATATGCTCATTTTAATACATTACCATATTATAGGATACACCCAGGATGTCAAGACAGTTTACAACTGCCATGATAATGGAAGGATGTAACCAAATAAAGAAAAGAGGTGGCACCCTTGCTCCCCAGAAAAGCCTGCCCATTTTCCCAAATAACTCTGAGTATTCCTCCCCTTCGTTACCTAGACCCCTTACAATAGCTGCTTAATCACCCCGGGAGCCAAGATGTTGATTTGTGAACATAGTTCCTACTTCTCCAGTCTTTGGGCATTGAATAAAGCTGTGCTGATGAATGCTCAGCTCAGGTTTCTTTTGAGCTCTGCGACACCAAACAGAAAAGAACACTCTGAGGAAGAGAAGGGCTGATTGTGGGTTCAAGGCCCACCAGAGGGAAGTAAAATTAGTAACAAGGGGATGGCTGTCAGGCCCATCAAAGAGGACATGCTGTAGACAGTTCATCAGGTCTCCCCATGTCTACAGGCAACAGAAAGAACCAGCTGAGCTGAAGGGGCTGTGGGATGAGGTCATCTCTGTAGTGATTGAGTAGAGCAGAGCACCAGGACGGAGGATGGATGGTAGGTGGATGCTTGTAAAGACAAGTGACATAAGACCAGATAGGCCACCTCTTTGCCTTGACATTGTGTAAGTTCCAAGGAACAAATGAAACTGGAATTGTATGGTGGACTAGAGTACTCAAATATAAATTGTCACCCTTTAAAAATCTTTGGAGATATAAACCCTTATGGGATCTCCTTTGGACAGAAATAGAAGATAAAAATGAATCATGAGGTGTAGTTTGGCAAATATATACAGCCATGTATGATTAGTGTGGCAGTCAGAATTCTATGGAATATTAAAATGGATTCCCATTTAGAACAAGTCTTCACTCTGCTCAGAGAATTCCATTGCTTTAAATGAAAGGCAAATAGGTAGAGAAGCCGACCTGTAAGAGATAATTCCATTTGCAAGAGAAGAAGTCTAATCTATTTTCATGCCAGTGTGTAAAGGACTTTTCACTTTATTCACCACTTCATTAATCTAATTTCAAAAGGGAAGGCCAGGACTGAAAACAGAGGTTATTCACATTTCAAACGAACTCCTTAGGCATAATGAGTGAGCAAAGCCTTCAACTGTTAGACTCTGTTGCTTTTCTACCAGCTGGAGAGAAGCACAATGAAGGTCATGCTATTTAATCTTACAAACAGATGTATATAGTTGGGGTTGAAGAAGGAATTATTTTGAAAAATGGCAAATAGATCTGTTATGCACTGAGTATCAGGGCAGAGTTTGAAATAACATGAACAGTTCGATGGTTTCTATTTCCATCTTGTTTCAATCTACAGAATGAGTGAATGAATGAAAAATTCCATGGTGAACCATGAGACATAGCTAGAGTCATATTTACCAAATACCATTCTGCAACATAACAGAGGGGTTTGGAACGACTGGAAATACTTCCACTCCAGGAATTTCCAGGACATCTGGTAAGTCAACACCATTATCACAAACATTATGGCCAACAATGTGAGTTCTTGCAACAATGTATTCATTTTCCAAATGTTCCAGCTGAGAAAGCCACACAGAACATTCCCACCACCTAGCAGATGGCTAATGGGGAAGCCAATATTTTCTGTGGAAACCAAAGGTTCTTCTTCTAACATCAGACATTTTCAGCAGAGAGAACAAATAAGCATTTGTTTTTGTATTCTATTCTTTCACACTCATAAAGAGAATGTATTACAGACTATTAATTTAAAAAGTGCATAAGAAAATGAGTTTTGTCTTGTGATTATACAACTAAGGGGTTTTTAGATCCAGAAATGCTTGGTGCTGGGACCAGGGCTACTTGCTTTCTTATCTAGCACGAGATGGAGGGGTAGGGAAAGCTTTGGGCTTTTGTTGATTGTAGGGGAAAGAACTTTAAAATATGTGGGTGGAAATGAGTTTGCTCCTGCCCACCTCAGATTTACAACAGACTTGTAGGATGTGGAGAGTGTGAATGGGATTTTATTTTCATAGAAAGCGAGCAAAATGAACAAGGTACAGTTGCCCAGTTTATGTTAGGGGAGAGCGGGAGGAGGTGACAACAAAAGATAAAACATGTTATTTGAATAACATTGTTAATACATCAAGTTTCCCAGACGACATTTACTGTGCCAGGAAAGTGGGTCGATTTGCCTTAAGCTATTTTGCCTTCACTTGTTATTATCAAGCATTCAGATAAATGTATATATAACACATATAACAAATGTAACACGTACTTTAAAGAATCGAACTTGTTATAAATAGACGGTTTCATTTGTTTGTTTGTTTGTTTTTGTTTTGTTTTCTAAGCTGTTTGGAGTTCAAGTTGAAATTTCCACTTTTTCTGTAATGAATGTTTTTATGTCGCTGCTGTCTGACTAAAACACTTTCATTTTTAAATTAGCTTTGATACTGCCATGCAAAAATATTGGCATGTAAAATTAACACCTACTGTTATAACAGGCTAATTCACTCAGTCAATAATATTAAAGTTACTATATACCTACTATGTAGAAGAAAATATGCCAGGCTCTGCTGGAGACATAAGAAACTTACATGAAAGTTAATGGTGCAAAGACATGCTTAATTTCAGTAAGTTATCAATCATGTCAGTCTCCCTCCTTTAAAGAAATGAGTAGCTTAGCTGAAACACCTATTTGGTGGTTGCTAGGAGTTTGGCTTTCTGAAACTGGTACAAGCTGGAGTCCATGATGTTGTTCAGGGGTGGCTAACAGATGAAGATGTGCTCTTCTTGGTGTAGAGTTTGGTTCAAGAATCGAGAGAGCTGAAAATGTGTAAAGAACTCCTTAATCACTGTGGTAGGTGAATAACGCCCCCTCTCCTTGCTTAAAGATGCCCATGTCCTAATCTCCATAATCTGTGAATATGGCACATGGCAAAAGGACTTTGCAGATGTGACCAAGTTAAGGATCTTGAGATGGAAAGATCATCCTGGATTATCTGGGCGAGCTCAATGCAATCACAAGCATCCTTAGGAAGGCATGACGATCAGAATCAGTAAAGAAGTGACTATGAAAGCAGAGATTGGAGTGGTGTGCTTTGAAGATGAAAGAATGGACCATAAACAAAGGAAAGCAGGCAGCCTCTAGAAGCCGGAAAAAGCAAGGAAACAGGTTCTTCCCCAGAGTCTCCAGAAAGGTAGATAGCAGCCCTGCTGACACCTTGATTTTAGCCCAGTGTGACCGTATCATATTGCTAACTTATAGAACTGTAAGGTAATAAATTTGTGTTGTTATAAACCACTAAGTTTGTGGTACTTTGTTACAGCAGCAATAGGAAACTAATACAATCAAATTCATAAACAGCTATTGTAAGTTCTTCTGGAAGGAAGATGTAAGC